GGTACTGCAACAGTCTGACAAGCGACCCAAAAGTTTAACCAGCAAAGCAAATGCAAGGTGTTCCCTAAGGGGGGAGGAACAAATTTTGTGGTTTTCTTATTCTATTTTATTTAGTTTTTCTTTCTCCCTCAAAGAAAAAAGAAAAAAGAATTCAAGATAATTATATTCACGGGTCCCCTGGCTAGCCTTAAGACCATTCTTGCGCCTCGGGTCTTTTCCTTTCCAACCGTGTAAGTATATTTCCTTTTACAATATTTTTTTCCCCCTGGTTTAATACCGCAGTCATATCGAAGAAAAAGGACACCATCTAGTTGGTCAGTCTAACCTCTTCGGGGTCCACTATGACCAAACTGCAGTAAAAGCGGAGACACAAATACCAACGTTTGTATCATTGTGAATAATGGAAGTTTGGTTATTATTATCTAGGTTTCTAGGTCTTGTCCTTCTAATCTCTGCCTTCCATACATGCGATCTTTTTCCCTTTTCCCTTAATAAGTATTATTACGACGACTACCCCGTATTTCTTCTATTCATTGGCGCGAGATTTTGAAATTCGTCCATGCTCACCTAGCTGACAAAGAAATCAAAAAAGACAAAAAAGACAAAAGAGAAAAAGAGAAACCGTCCTAGTGAGACGGACCGGAAGTTCAAGAGGCAAAAACCATCTTGAAATTACAGACGTTTTTTTCCCGCCCAAAAAGCCTTGTAGGGACCAATAAGACGGTGGTTAGCACCACCATCCTCCCAACTTTCTTACCTGTCCACCCAGACCTTCTGCCTCACCTTATACAACGGACTTTACCTGAGGCACTTCCTTGTCTGCCTCAGGCCCACCGTCGCCTTGACTGGCCCTTCTTGTCGCTTGACTTTACCTTCACTTTCCCTCCCTTCCCTTTCCTTGTTGGATTGTACAAAACCAACACGTGCTCTGCGACCGTTTCTGTTCTCTTCTGAGATCCTCCATCCCCTCCAAACTTACCGTTCGGTGACCCGGATTCTAGAAGAGGGCTGACCGTGGGGAAACAACCGATTCCCTGCATCTTGTCTAACATTTACCTTCCCTTTTCCCTTTTCTCGAGGGCATACATTGCATAACCGCTTGTCCTCCGCTGCAACTTTCTCCCGAATATATCAGCGGCTACTTAAAAACACCCCAAACCCCCTCCGAACAAGTCTTCACTATGTCTTGTGGTCCTTGCGCCGCCCTCCCTCACTAAATTGCCGCTCTCCGGCGAATTGATGGCACACGACTGGTTTCGCAAACTGGTGCGCGACTGTTGCGGAAGGCCGCTGGAACTGTGAACTACTGATTTGGCCACCTGAAAATTAAATTAAATCCTGACAACGCAACTAAACGGACTCCGAGCAAGTGGATTACTACCTACTCAGCCCTATCCTTGCTCTCGTCAAAAGTTACCCGACCACTTACCAGCTACCGCTTAGCAGACCCTAACGACTATTGCCACCAAGTCCGCAGTCTTCCTACTGCAGATTGACTCTTGCACCTCTGTTGCCTTCTCCGATTTTGTTAGCACTTCTGCAGCTTTTGCGCCGGCTCTAGAAGCAGGATCTTCTCGAGGCCTTGAGCGGGGCTATCTCTATCGTCTATCTAGTTATTGATCTTCTGCAAATCGCATTCAGCTGACAGTGAACGTCGTGCCCCTTGTATATCACCCACGATTTGGGTGAGGGTTTGCGTTTCGTTGTCTAACTCGTCTCTCCATTTCATCTTGAATTGATGAGCAATTGGGTCGTACGATGGACTTGCCGCGAATCTCGCCACCCTCGATCAATGTGCATGATTTCACTAGTGGTTCTTATCACAGCGCTACTGAACGATCCTCATATGCTATGCCTGGACAATCATACTCTTTGCCTGGGCCTATGCCAATCCCCGCCAGTTCAATGAACACATTTGCTCCGCCGCCACTTCCACCGCCGCCGCGCATCAGAGACCTAGAAGACGGTTACGATGCTGGTTGGGTGCATGCGAATTCTAAGGGTCCCAGTGCAAAACTTGCCCCCATCAATCCGAGTTCGAGTCTATTTGGGGGGCATCGCCGTTTAGAATCCGGACCTCAATCTGATCGGATGGCGCTAGATGATTTGGATGGCAGACACAGCGGCTTGCCTCTATCGAGAAGTCCGGAGGCTCATATACGGATTGAGCCTCCACCACCAGCGGATGACGGTTTCCGAAATTCAATTTCTATAAACACCAGCCCTATGTAAGTACGCTTCCTGGTTTTGCGTATTCTTAAACCGTCGTTCTTTCATTGTGTGTTTCGCCATAACTCCTTCACCTGGGCCGGTGTCACTAACATCAAAGGATAGTTTGAAAGGCGAGCAGGACTTCTCTCGACGGAGCGTGAAGGACTCGTCTGATGCATATGACCAGCATCTTCTGTCTAAAATAGGGAAACCGCTCTCTCCCCGACAGTCTCTAAGTTTGGGTTCCGAGAATAGGGGTCCTTTATCAACACTTCCCTTACCTTCGAGAAATTATGGAAGCTTACCCTCACCTGGTGGCTCTGACGGATCTACACTCGACGTGAGGTGGTCCATTGGTTCTCAGTCAGGCGGGATATCACCTGGGACCAAAGTCGGCTGGAGAGACTATATCGGTTGCCGGAGTCCAAGTGTTGAGAGCAGTGCGCCTTCTTCTGCGGTAGACTACGATAATCCTAACTATATCCGCCGTCGGGGAGGCGGAGCCACACCGCAAAACGAAGACTCGCTCAGTCTCCCGAGTCGATCGAACCGGGGAAGCTATGATCAAGGTATATTTTCAGACATCGAAGGGGATTTCTCGACGGATGAATCATTGCCACCCCGTTTATTTAATGTTCGTGAAGCAACACCGCCATACTTAGACACATCCAAGTCCGGCATGAAAAGACGAGCATCTTCTCCTCCAAGAGAGCCAATTAGCGATGATAGGCACACGCTACATGTAGCGACAAGTAATGGTGATCTTTCACAGCGAAGGACATCTGGCCATCCGTTCACGAATACTTTATCTGTCAATAGCGCTTATGCCCAGAGCCATGGGAGTATCTCAGCTGCGTCATCTTTGAGCCTTCGAACCTCCGGGTCTTACTCATCAGCAGCTCTTTCAAGCAGCGTTACGAGCGCGTCAGTGCATGAGCGGTCACCCGGGGGGCTCTCTCCAAATTCCGACCTCGAATCATTCCATGACAAGTTTCACCTCAATCCTACCTCTCCTGGCGGAGTTTCAAACCAATCGGCAATGAGAGGTGTTCCGGGCCCCAATACGCTAGAACCACCCAATTCAACTGTCGCAAGGAAAATGTCTTTGCAGACGAGTTTGAACGTACCAAAACAAGCGGGTCCCAAGATGGGTGGTTTGTTCATTTGCGACTGCTGTCCCAAGAAACCTAAGAAGTTTGACAGTCCCGAGGAACTTCGGTAAGTCTCAATAGAGTCAATTAATTTCAACAGTGATAGGACATTTTCTAACCTATGGCTCTTCAATAGCGCACATGAGATGGAGAAACAGTACTCTTGCTTGTTTTGTAACAATCGGTTCAAAAACAAAAATGAAGCTGAGCGCCACCAAAATTCGCTCCACTTGCGGCGTCATTCTTGGTCATGCGCTGCCCTACCAGGATACCAGGCTGCGTTCCATCCTTCGTCTTCTCCTTCAAGCCAAACGAATTCAGGCCCGTCACACGACACCTGTGGTTATTGTGGTGAAGAATTCCCTAATTTTCCTCAGCCTGACTGGGACCGCAGGTTCGAGCATTTGACGACAGTGCATAAATTTGGGGAGTGCAATAACGCAAAGAAATTTTATCGCGCGGACCACTTTAGACAACACTTGAAGCACAGTCATGCTGGAACCAGTGGAAAGTGGACTAACATTCTGGAGAATGCCTGTATGAAAGAGGAAGCGCCGCCTGAACCCAGAAACGCCACTAGCAATGGCGGACCAGGCCCTGCGATAGGAACAACTGCGACACTTACGTCAAATAAAATCAACGAGGTCCTCAGTGGCTGCTGACAATCATTGCGCCGGTGCTTACTACTGGGCCAAGGTTTCTGTGGAGTTACAATGCTCTGACGTGCTGTAGACGACTGCAAATTTGTGCTTCCAGGGCACGTTGCTGCATTATTCTTTGCCTCTTATCTTCCTTTTCTAAGGTTAAAATACCCCCTTTTCGTCGTCAGGATCACATTTTACCGAATCCTGCCCGTTTACTGCTACTCAGGGTAGGCGGGGTGCAATTTCTTCTAGTGCATCTTTTTCATGCATCATATGCACTCAGCTTCTGCATTCAACAAAAAATTTTCATCTGGGACAAATAGGACATGGTACAGGGCGGGATTATGGTTGATTTATAAAGCATCGGAGGGCAATCTAGCATGGAAAGGGAGAACTGTCATCATGATGTGACATGATATACTTGCTTTTCCTTCATACTATCTTTTTCATTCAGCCAACTTTTGGCGATGGGGGACATGGAGTCTTGGAGAAAATTGACTTGGGAGGTTGTGTCTGGGTCTTTTATTGCACATGGGCTGTTTTCTTTCTTCATCTCTGCCTCTCTTCATCCCTTTTTTGCCTTCTCTTCTCACCTGTTTATGGTCGTTATGATGTGGCACTTGTGGACTTTTGTACCGGGTGCTTGGTACCTCTGTAAATAGAATTCTGTATATGGTTAAAAGAAAAGGATATACAAAAACTCGACATACTACAATAGAGTGACGGTCTGGACAGGCAATAAATAGCCAGTAATAAACAAAAAGTCAAACCCATTGAATTGAATGCATCGCAACGCCAGAACAATGCATGGGAACTAATCTAAGTCGTAACTTTTTCTACCGGACAAAGTAGAACCAGAACATACAACGACCAAAAGCCAATGTTCATTAAGACAATGGGCGAAGTATAAATACACCGACCGTCTACACCAGGTAATTCAAAAAGCAAAACAGACTCCATCCCCCGTAGACTCTCATGACGCCTGTTTCGAATTTTAGAGTCCTTCCTCGATTACCCCGGCAGCCTCCTTTGCCAGTCGGAGGTCCTTGCCTACGAGTCCGATGTCTTTGAGGTAGAGGTTGAATGCAGATAGAAGATCCTTGAGGGAGCTCTTGAGGGTGTCGAGTACAAGATCCACGTCTGGGACGCGACGGGCCTCTGCTTGTGCTTCGGGCTTACTTGATGGTGGGAAGTTGACGTCTGTCCAGTGGGCGTCGAGACCTCCGTGGATAAAGGGCTCCAGGGTCCTGATGGTGCTCGTGAAGAGGCGTACGACGTCGGGCACATCGGTCTGGACTTTGCCGTATTGGTCCTCCTGCAGACTTGCGATGAGGAGGCGGGTGAGCGACTCGATGGCGTCGACGATGGGACATAAGTTTGCGTGTGGTGCGCCTAGGACAATCCCTGACAGGCGGCGGTCGTACGTTTGTCGGAAGAGTAGGCCTACTGGAGAGCGGAGGAGTTGCGCGATGAATGGGTTAAGGTTTTCTGGCTTGCAAGCTGAAGGGCCTGTGAGCATTTTGAGTTCTTGTGATGAAGCAAGAAGTTTCTGCTTTCGCTCCGGGCTCAATATGGCAGTGGATGCACGGTCGAAAACATCGCGGGCTTTTGCTCGGGCAGCAGGGGTCCAATCTGCCGATTGTCCGTAAGACTTGGCTGTTGAGCTGAAGACTTCCCCGATCATTTCCTGCCGCGAGTTTGCTTTGGGAGAGGGAGCGAAGACGTTGTCCGCTTTGAGAGGGTCTGTTAACCGTGGTAGAGTGCGGAGAACCGGTTCGGTCGGTTCGGCTTGTGCGGGCTTGGGGCCCGATGGTGGGTTCTTCTGTTCGTCAATGCGAGTAGAAATGCCCTTGATAACCTCGGTGGCAGATTTCAGGATCTGCGACCACGCTGGACCACCGTCACGATCAATATCATTGAAGATCGCCTTTCGTCGGTTAGGAAATCTCTGACTGATGAAGCATAACTCCCAGAATGCGAAAGATTTGACGGTTTCCTTCTTTGCAGTCAGCCCCGTCAATAAGCTACCGTTAGGGTCTTTCGCCTCAGCCGTCAATGGCTGACCACGCTTGAGTGGCTCCTTGCTAAGGAATGCGGAGAAGAAAAGATTGGCGGTCTGCCAGCAAAGAGCCAGGAGGCCTCCAGAGAACACTGTACGTAGCAGCAAGCCTGGGCCAATTGGGCCAATAAGGCCTGGAGGAGCCGCAGCAGACCTAGGGAAGTCCCAGAACAATTTCGCCCAGTACATGGTGAAGCTCCAGGCCGGGCGTCTTAGGAAGAAGGTATACACCACAGGGCAGACTGCGGCGACCACAGCACTTCTTGTGAAGCCGTCTTTTATAAGCCCAGGCAATGCAATTTGTATGCGCTTAGACACCGGCTCCACTGGATGGGTTCTCTGATCAGCATTGCCGGCAGCCCGTTTAGCAACGGGAATAGGTACACGGTCGAAATCGTAATACAGGTGGACAACAGATTGCACAATTGCGAGTAATAGATGGCAAGTGTAGAGGTAAATCGGCCTTTCGTTTAAGCTTGCGCGCTCGTGTGGCCTATTTTTCTTTTAGTTCACGAGGCGCCTTGATTTAGACACTGCGGGGGGGGGGGGGGGGGGGGCACATACCGGCCTCTATTAACCCACTCCAAGTGTGCTCCACTAGGAGATGACCACTTATAGATCTCACTAAACCACCATGCTGAGAAGATATACCATCCAAAAGTTTGGACGACATCGAGCGGGAAAATGTACTTTAGAGTGCCCACAGGAGAGGCAGTCGTTCGAGAGCCAATGTGTATCTGTCCAACGCGCAATACGAAAACGACGAGACTGCAAATAAAGAGCAAGATAGTACGAATTCCACACGCTCCAATTGGGAACCAAGCCCATAAAACTGGCGAAAAATAACATTGTTAACTACCGATTCGTTCAAATGCAGCATTTCCAAGAATCGGCCACTTGTAGTAAGAGGTACCTGCTACTTACAGGACGATTTATCTCCAATCAAGAACGCGATTAAGTAGCAGACAAGTAGCGCTAAAGCAGAAGCATGGACGAAGCGTCGGTGCAGCGCTGAGGTCAAGATGCGCCGATATGGGCGCGGCCGGATAGCAGCCATGATGCTAGTTCAATTGGGGGCTCCAAGATCTCTGAGGTAGAGAAGGAATGGAATTTCACAGCATGATCAGAACTGCTGCGCAGTACTATTCCTATCTGCCCGGGCTAGGAGACCAGGCGGCACTTCGACGTATGAGCTGAACGGGCAACCGAAATTCCGAACAGTGACGGCAGCATGCGACGATAAATTGAAGCTTTTTGAGAAAAGCATCAAAACACACACTAGCCACAACCCATCGGTCAGGTGATGGACCCACCAGCCACGCATCATGTGGTTGCAGCCTGGAAATCCCGGCAGAAACCCAGGTGACCGCCCGGCGATCCGCATGTTGACGTTCCATCCCGCGGCCATCCTCTTAACACTATTCCAATCCATTCATCGTCACTCTGCATCGCATCACCCACCATGTCTTTCGACCGTCTTAGCTCTCTAGAATCACAGCCTACTACTTTGCGTCGCTCCGACGATCCACAGTATCGAGATGATCCCGAGTTTTACCAACTCACCGAGAGTCTTTCAAATCAGCTATTCAACCTAACCTCGAACATCACCCGGCTATCGGACCAGATCGCACTTCTAGGGACAAGGCGAGACACAGAGCGAGTCCGTGAAAGAGTTCACAATCTTCTAGAGCAGACTCGCTCAGGATTCAAGGGAGTAGGAGAAGGTATCAAGAAGGTGCAAGCATGGGAGGATGTTAATGTATGCGAATACAGCCAGGCTCTATGCGATGCGCTACTGACATTCATTTGATAGCCTTCTCAAAAATGGACACAGCAGAAACTATCTTCAGAATTCAAGGCTACTTTAGATGAGTTCCAAACTGTCCAACGCCGGGCTTTGGAGAAGCAGCGCGCATCCGCCGTTGCTGCCCGCACCGCCGTGGAAGAAGGTGAACAACCTGCGGTTGAAGGAGCTACGCAAGAACAGCAACAGCTACTTCAGGAACAACCTCGACTTGCGAACCAGGATGAGGTGGACTTCCAGGAATCTCTGATCATTGAGCGCGAAGCAGAGATTCGCAATATCGAGCAAAGTGTTGGCGAACTCAACGAGTTGTTCCGTGATGTCGCCCACATCGTGCACGAGCAAGGAGGCCAGCTCGATATAATTAGCGAGAATGTTGAGAATGTTACAAACGACACCCGGGGAGCTAATGTGGAGCTCCGCAGTGCCAACAGACATCAAAAGAATGCCCGAAACAAGGCTTGCTGTCTGCTTGTCATCCTTGCCGTGATCCTGACTATCATTGTGCTGGCGGCTGTTATTGGATAAGTTGATTCAGTTACGCTCTAATGTTTCCACCCATCATTCCTAGTCTACTTGTACTGTTTATTATGGCGGCTTTTGTTCATGATATCCTCTTATATGCAGTTCTATGTATTGTTATGAACTATCTGTTCTCTCTCATGACTCGAATTATGACCAGCAGGCGCATGCGGAGTGAGGGAAGTGTATCTTCATTTCGTCCTTCTATCCTGATTTATTCCTTCTTCTAGAGTATCATACATAGCTTGTGTGTTATACAAAGATTATATGTCAAAGACTATTGCCCAATATGCAACCAAACTCCATATCGCCCTTATGTGCATCGCGAACGTAAATGGTGAGTCGCTTTACAAGCCTGTGAAGCGGCTGAATCTCATCCTGCAGCCTTCAAAAGTGTTCAACTTCGGTCGTACGTCCAAGTAGAAGCTCAATTTGCCGGGTCCGGCATTAGCAGCCAAACCGGCTGGTCCACCGTTGGCTCCAGACGACTTCCCTTGATAGAAATCAATGACGTACTCGACCCTCTCTCCATCGCATCTCTCTACGACCCAGTCATGGCGATCGAAAGGTAGTTGGTAGCCCATTAGGTTGTTGATACGAGCACGAGGACTGAGGAACTGGGGGTCAACGCCCAGTCCGCGGAATGAATATAGCCTCGGGCCTCCACATTTCTTGCTGCCAGGATCAGACCGAGGCGCTTGCTTCTCCCATTCTAGGATCTGTTGCCAGGCACGCTCATTGACGGCATTATGAATTGGGATAATGGATGCCACGGACGTTGCTAGTTCAGTGGGCGAAGTGCTAGAAGTCGGTGTGTTGCCTTTACGCATCAATGCTTCGAAGAATTGGCGTTCAGAAGGGTAAATCCAGTTCCCGCTCTTCTCATCATGACCTGTTTCAGATTCCGCATTTGAGGGCGTGCCGTGCGATACAGGTGCAGCATATGGGGATGGAGCTTCCGCGGCCGCCTGGGGAGACGGTTGCTTGGAGTCTTGGTCGAAAGCTCTGGGAATACTGCTCACTTCGCGGTCGCTCGACAGTGGTCGTTGTAGTTTTGCTTTTGGCTCTCCGTCTTCCGTAGGTAAAGGATGAGGAGAACCGCCTGAGGCCTTGTGTTGCTGTAGCCAAATCTCACGGGTCTTGTGATCCACCGGACATGTTGCCGCCGGTGCAGACTCAGCGGCAGGTGCAGACTGAGTACCCGTGTCAGATCCCATTATCAGATATTTTCTAATTTTCTGGAATTGATTGACAGGGTGGACGAGAAATGCCGATGACAAATCGGGTTGTTGATTACTATGGAAGAAGATTTACTTGCGGAAGGCGGAGAGAGAAATTCTGACATAGTCACCGCCTTCCAGTGGAATTGAATTTGCTCCGCATTTCTTCTCTGTTGGGAAGGCGGTCTTTCGATCCGTCATATCGATCATAGCAGATAGAACACGGCACAACTTCTGAGATTCAGCAACCCAGTAAGATTTCTCATATTAATTACGGGAAGAATTGTCAGAAGTGCCAATTGATCAGCGACAGGGACAAACATATCCTTGCTACACAAGAGACACAGTCGAACCGGTCGTAGGGCTATTTGCGACTAAGATATATACTAGATTACTAGTACGGTATAGATCATGTTGGACCGGGTCCCGCCTTACCCAAACTGGGATAGTGCGTGTCCGTGGAGAGTTGACGATAAATGATATTTCCCAACAGGGAAATCCGTTGCCCCTCAATTCTCCAGCGCCCTCCCTCGCCTTTACCAACCTCTTCTTCTCCCGACGTGCCTCTTCTTCCTGTATTGTCCGACAAGTAACACCTCCTAGTCTAACAGTATGGCTGCTTCATCTGACAGTGCGGTCTTTCGGGCCACCACCACAGCCCCGGTCAACATCGCTGTTATCAAGTTTGTCGTCCATACCCCTGAGCATCACAATTGTCACTAGGCTACCTTCATACTTACCATGACTTTGAAGATACTGGGGTAAAAGAGACGCCACTCTGAACCTACCTACGAACTCCTCCCTCTCCGTAACACTCTCGCAGCGTTCTTTGCGCACCCTCACCACTGCCTCATGCTCGGCCAAGTACCCAACTGCCGACGAGCTCACCCTCAACGGCAAACCTCAGGACATCCAGTCCTCCAAGCGCACCCTTGCTTGCCTTTCGAATCTGCGTTCTCTTCGCCAGGAACTTGAAGCTGCTGACTCTTCTCTGCCGAAACTGTCTACTCTCCCGCTGCGGATCGTCTCCGAGAACAACTTCCCCACCGCCGCTGGTCTCGCCAGTTCCGCTGCCGGCTTCGCAGCGCTCGTCCGTGCCGTCGCGGACCTTTATCAGCTTCCTCAGTCCCCTCGTGACCTCAGCCGCATCGCTCGTCAGGGATCTGGGTCCGCCTGTCGGTCTCTGATGGGCGGATATGTGGCCTGGCGCGCCGGAACTCTTGTCGATGGTAGCGACAGCTTGGCTGAGGAGGTCGCTCCTGAATCGCACTGGCCTGAGATGCGGGCGCTGATCCTGGTCGTCAGCGCTGAGAAGAAGGATGTCCCCAGCACGGAGGGCATGCAAACCACCGTCGCTACTTCCAATCTCTTCGCGACTCGCGCGGAATCTGTTGTACCCGAGCGGATGGCGGCTATTGAGACTGCCATTCAGAACCGGGATTTCCCTGCCTTCGCAGAGATCACTATGCGGGATTCCAATGGCTTCCACGCTACCTGTCTTGACTCCTGGCCTCCCATCTTCTACATGAACGATGTCTCCCGCGCCGCCGTTAGGCTCGTCCACGATATCAACCGTGTCGTCGGTCGTACTGTTTGTGCTTACACTTTTGATGCTGGTCCGAATGCCGTCATCTACTACCTCGAGAAGGATTCTGAACTCGTCGCCGGTACCGTCAAGGCTATCCTGGGTGCCAGCAGTGAGGGCTGGGAGGGTCCCTTCTACGAGCCTATCAAGAGCCTCACCACTCCGGGTGTGGCATTGGATAAGGTGGACTCTAGGGCTGTCGATGTGCTCAGGGATGGTGTCAGCCGTGTGATCTTGACCGGCGTCGGTGAAGGGCCCGTCAGTGCCAACGACCACCTCGTCAGTGAGACGGGTGACATTCTCTCCAACTAGAAAGAAGATATAAAACACAGCTACTCTAGCGTTGTCGGGCAGAGTTATGAAACATTTCTAATTTAAAAATAATCTTAGCGGAATCTGCTTCACAGAAAATGCCCTATACGCGAATTATGTCAGAAGCAGAGTACATATCATAGGTCTACAATTAATAATGGTCATAGCTTTCCTTTATATTTTTTATTAATCAACATTTCTAATATTCCAACTTTTTTGAGACTCTGTTTTAGAACGAAAACTCGTGGTTTGTACTCGGTCATTTCCTTCGCCGTCAAGGCTTCAGTTCAGCAACGCTGACTGCTTCAGCTCCTTGACCGCCGGTGCTTCTCGAACAGCTAGGGTAGCCGTAATGCTGTCCGCGAAAGCACGCTGACCACCCTTGAGTGAAACCTCTTCAGCGGTATTCGCATTAGTCTCAGCCTCCGGGCCGTCGGTCTGGTCACCTAATGGCGGAGCGACGGCACCGAATACTTCCACTCGAGAGTCAGTACACAACTTGAGCACCTCCTGCATAGCCTTTTCAACAGCAACGGCACGCTCGCGCATGCCCCGTCGGAGCAGTGCATTGACAAGAGTCTCGACCTCAGACACTGTCGAGTTGACTCTTTCGATAAGCCGCCGTACACTGTTCACCAGGTACTCTTCCTCATACACGGTTCCCTTTTTACCACTAGCACGTTTACGCTCTTCCTTTCGACGGGTCTTGGAAGTCTGTCTCGACATATTCGTCTTGCCAGTCTTGCCAGTCTTTCCGGTGTATCTGGTGAACATACTGCGACCAGCAAGAGTAGAAGCATCTGTAGGTGCAAGAGAGACGTTATCTGGGATATCGACCCCCATCTCTCCTCCCATCGTGGGGTCACCTCCGAAATAGGCCAGCGGGTCGGTGGCACGACGAACGCGCAGTTCCCCGATACGTGGTACTTGGGCGTTCAGCTGAGACCTGAAGTCGGCAAGAAGGTCGGTCATGGAGCCCATGGCGTCTGCCAGACCTGTGTCTACGATTTCCGGGACGAGGTTTTGCTTGCCGTGCAGTGCGAGGAGGCGTGTTGCGTCGGCGAAGCGAGAGCCGCGGCACAGGAGACGGGCGGCCAGCGGGATGTCGTGGAGGTGTTCAGCATGGACGTGTGCGGCGGAGACGTAGTCTTTGTTCTCGTCTGTCAGGGTGGTGGCTAATTCGAGTGCGTGCGCTTGGAGCTTTTCCTCTGATAACGGGACCATCATTGCGCAGTACAGGGATTCACGCCAGAGATGGACCCGCTGGTAGCATTGGTAGGCGTCAGAATATAGGGAAAGGGATTCGTAAGCTGAGATTGGTTAGCAACTGATACATTGTATTGTGGATAAAGAAATATGTGTGGAAATACGTACCGATGGCTGCTTCTTTGTATTTGGACTGATCGTAGAGGTAGTCGGCGTGGAGATTGGTCATGTCGCGTAGTTGCTCTTGCTGGTATTTGTAGAGATCGATGGCATCCTTATAGAGAACATGTTTGATAGCGTATGCCCTTAGTTCGTCATTAGCGTTAAGCGCATGCAGATGCTGCAGAGCCTTGGCCCATCGTCCAAGATAGTTATCAATTTCGAACTGTCGTCGAAGCTCAGGCAACTGCTGTAGCTTGCGCAAGAATGGGAGGTATTCTCGAGGATCCTGAATGGCTTTAGAATGACATTCTAGCGGGTTTGCTAGCGTTACTTACACGCTGGGCTTGCTGGGCAACAAGCAATGTGAGCTCAAGGTCGTAAAGGCCCAACGCAGTGTCGTATAAACGGTGGGCATCGGACAAGAAGCACATATGTTCGACTGCGTCTTCTGCTTGTTCGGAGCTTTGATCTATTGTAAAGTGAGTGGCTGGTCAAGTATGATGGTAGGATCTAGACTCACCTCTCAGGCGTGCAACCAGCTGAAGGCCAGCCTCGAGGTCTGGTGGCGATTTGACAACATGTGCCGTGACGAGATTATGCAGATTGGTATCGATCCTCTTTTCCAAAGTAGCCAAGAAAGCATCGCAAATCCGATTAACCTTACCATCCTTGGCTGGGGCCTTAGTGGCAAGTACCACATTGTCGTCCGCCTTAGATGTCTTCAGTGTATCTTTGTACAGAGTCTCAGAGACATCCTCCTCACTGTATATGGTTAAAAAGGGAACCCTCTACGAGAGAACCTACATATCGGACGTACCTTAGACGGGACAAGAACTCGTCGATGAAGTCAACCCTTTTCACTTGGTCAATGAATAACGGAACACTTTCCATGAACTGTTCTGGGGCGTAGTCATGAATGATGTTCATATCTACCATTTGGCTGCGACAGGTAAGGAAAGCCGAGCGGTAGTTCTTGCGGTCAATAAAGGACCTGATGCCTGCTAGGACAAGAGCACGGGGGTATGTGGTCTCAATATTTCCACGAGGTGCCTGCAACACAACGGCAAACATACTAGGTATTACCGACACCAAGCGCGAACCACGCTCAATGCTTCTGCAACGCTCGTCGGCCTCTGGCGTATCTGGAGGGACCTCCATATCTGCCAAATTTTTAGTCATGCTGCGGCCGGAAGTAGTCTTGGAAGCACCCACCTTCTGCCCTAGTCAAGTGAACGAATTTCAGGAGATGCTGAGAAGTAGTGAATAAGACGTGGGATTGGGTCACGAGGAATGAGGTGCAGTTCTTCGCAAGCAAAGTCTTATTCGCATACAGAGCACCGGTCTTTGTCATGGAGATCAAAAGATGCTTCGAAAATTAGCATGCGCAAGAGATAAGTGGGGACCTAGGGTCCAAGAAAGCATTACCTCGTCTTCTGATAACTGGGCGGCCTTGGCCCAATAGGCGTCGACAGAAGGACTCTGCGTGTACGGGGCTGCTACAAATTCATCTGTAGACGGTATAGAAATCGTGGAGTAGGTAATTGGTTGCCCATATTGGCTGATATGAGATATCCAAAGTGCTTCATGGCTGAGAGATGGGAATACCGAAACCAATTGTTCCGATTCGGCCGCCTGGTACGCGATCTTCGTTGTTCTAGTTTCCAAAGTCGTTCGCTCGATATTGGCATTATTCGGTCCACTGCTCTTGAGAATATAAACCTCATTCTCATTGATAAAAGCGATTTGCCGAGGTCTGCTGCCAGAAGCATCAGATAATGGATAGCTCGACTCAAGAATAGGCGCAGTCACTGGGCGAGTCTTGAGGGACCACATGAAAATAGAGAAACAATCCTTCATCAGGACAGCAATACGAGTGCCCGACTTGCTAAATGCGACGTCAATGACGTTCGAGTCCAATGCCAATTCATTGTGGGCCATAGGTGGCGGGACACCCGCAAGCCTCAGCGGAGTCAACTTGAGAGTTTCTTTGCTTGGTTAGAGGCGTATCACATATGCTTTGGAAGCAACTGAAACTTACTTCCATCAATAACGGCAACAGCTCCAACATCATTTGGCACAAGAGTCGAGCCATGATCGACGTCAAACACAAACTCCGCGTCCAATATCGACTCTGCGATGCAGTCAGTACATATTCCTTAATCAATATCCGGTATAGAGAAAGTACCCGAAGCGCCTGCAACAAAGCGCAGTGTCTTCTCTTGATGCCACTTGAAGGCAAAAGGGTTTGGGGAACTGGGATTCACGGCCACAGGAACCTCCTGCTTTAAGTAGTAATGATAGTTACCCATTGTCCAGAGCTGGACCCTGTCTTTGAATTGAACAGCGAGGACCGTCGAATCGATATTCCAGGTTAAGTGGATATCCGACGCCCACGAGGACCTTTCTTTCTCGGTGAGGCGAAGTGTGAACTCTCCATGACGCAAGCCGTTTCTTTCGAAGAACACAACATCGACTCGATCGTCACGTCGTTGGATACCGGCGATAAGGTTACCATAAGGCCTCCAACTCAGGGCCCCTTCCAGTCCATCCACTGGCTCACTCACACTGTCTAAGGTTCCCTCTCTGGAATACACGCGGATTGCGCGGCGAGTGCCCTCTTCGATGCTGTTTACCGCAACATAGGCACCATCTCCTCGCCAGGTAATGGTCGTCCTCCCGTCATCGTTGCTGCCCAGCGTTCCTTCGTCTACCTTTTCAGGGACTGTAGGGTCACGAAGAGCCTTGGCTCGCTTTCCTTGAAACTGTGTTTCCTTCTTTCCCCAGCCAACGGAGACATGTTGAGACGCCTTCAGGTCCTCTGGGGTGAAGGTGATTTCAGCCACATTCTCGAATTCCCTGGTCATGTACAAGAATGTGTTAGCTCTTGTGGTTAGAGCCAGCAGTTCCTCGTCTGGAGACCAGGTGGCAGCAGTGATGCCAACGTCGACGGAACCCAGAATCTCAATCTTGTCCTCTCCAGGGAGAGGTTCTTCACGGACAATGACAATATCACCCCCTTCAAGTACTAGACAGGCACTAAGGCTGTCCGCAAAGTAATGGAGAGAGAGAACCCGGTCACAGGGTAGGTCTGGCAGAGGGCAAGGTGCATCCCACGAGGCGATGCACTCAAATACATCTGCGCCTACGGGCTCGGAGAAATAGGCGTCTTGACGCTTTCTCCTAAGTTCAATAACTGGATTGGTCTCTGTAGGACCGAAGGTGCAAATTACTGCATCCGACGCAGTGTCCCAAGCAGTGGCTGTTAATGGCAGCTCACTCTGAAGCTGCACCTCGGCGAGGCGAACATTTTTCAAGTTGCGCATATCTGATAAGTTTAATTGTAGTCTTTTTTTACCCCGCGGCCATGAATCAATGAAAGCTCCGGGATATAAGAAAAAGAAATGTAGAAGGGGATTAAGGCAGAATAAAAAGGAAAAAAGAAAAAAGAAATTAAAGCTAGATCAAGAATGAATCTTCCATCTAGCAGTTCGGCAAAGAAGTATAAATGATGTTCCTACAAGTTGCGGAGCTTTGCAAACATATCGGATGCGGACCAAAAGATTTTAATTTTCTCTGCAGACAAAAAATCGACCAATGACTTCATCCATATTCTAATATGGAATCAGCCCATTTTGACCTAAATTCACTACAACCACAACTACGAGATCAAAAGCATACTAGAATGCAGCTTATTATTGAATACACCAGAAATCAGAGCTTAATAATCGATTCTCTAGCTTTATACACAAATTCCGAATACTTCCAGTGTAGGGTACATTTTCGACCAATTCCCAGTGCCCAACGATCCCATGGCGCGGGAAATGTATACATTGCGAAAACCCGCTTAGCGAGTCTTGTAGGTCTGCCAGACTGTAGAGAAGATCTTGTTAGATATTCGATCAAAACCGTAGGCAAATCGATGAATAACATACCAGCAATGGCAAAGGGAGCACCGAAACCGGTGACTAAACGTTACAAGTCAGCAACGCAGAACAATTACAACTCCTAGAGATCAATCGAGAATCACTCACTCATGAAAGCCCAGTACCTGAAGAAGAAGAACTTGGTAAGAGGGTTGAAGGGGATGTTCGAGCGAGGACCCTCAGCATAGTGGAACGGGCTGCCGAGCTGGGCGCGGGTGGTGGAAAAGCCACGGCGGGCGACGAAAGAGGTGGCCATTCTGGCCCGGAGAGCGGTAGCGGCGTTCATCTTGGGTCGTGTTAGATGCAATTGGGAAGATATATATCATCAGCCAGCAGTTGACCTACCTTGAGGAAAGCAGCAGAGCACGGATGGTCAAGGCAATCTACTCTTCTTGTAACTGGCGGGAAGAGTAGGAGTGGTGGAATGACAATCGGCGGCCCGGATACCGGGTCACGTGTACAGTGTTCCGAACGGCAAGTTTCTCCGGTGGAAAGACCATTAGCAGGGGCCCTGGCCAATCACATGCCGCCCAGCTCAAAAGGAACATTGAAATTTCTCAGTGAATCGGCGAGTGCGACACAGTGCGACGAGCACTTCAACCATCCGGTCGTTGTCCGTCCTTGCTCCCTGCGGCCGACCTTGAACGTTCGACCGACCATGGATGAACTTTTCGATGTTTTTGAGGACCAGCCCCAGGCTGTCAAGCCCTCTGACGGAGCTCCCAAACGTTCCAAGAAAGACAAGAGCAAGAAACGTCAGGTCAATGGTGATGTGAAGGCAAGCGATGCCACCGTAGAGGCAAAGGAACCCGTCGCCGTCGCCGATACCCCCGTCGAAGAAACTTCCGAGCCAGAGGAGGTCGACGCGCCTACGACAGACAACAATGAACAACCAGATGCGAAACGGCCGCGACTCGAGAAGGAACCGGAGCCCGTGGTAGCCGACTTGTTCGAGACTGCGCAAGAGCGTGAAGTCGCAGGATCTGCAGGACTTCAAGCCGCCAATGATTCAGCATCCGTTGTATTATCACACCAAATTCGTCACCAGGTCGCGATTCCACCGAACTATCCATATGTACCCATTTCCGAGCATAAAGCTCCCGAGAACCCGGCGCGAGTGTGGCCGTTCACCCTCGATCCGTTCCAGCAGGTTTCCATCGCATCGATTCAAAGAGAGGAAAGTGTACTTGTTTCAGCCCATACTAGTGCCGGAAAGACCGTCGTCGCCGAATATGCTATTGCCCAAAGCTTGAAGAACAACCAGAGAGTTATTTATACAAGTCCAATCAAGGCCCTTAGCAACCAGAAATACCGAGAATTTGCGGCGGAGTTTGGAGATGTTGGTCTAATGACGGGTGATGTTACCATTAACCCGACAGCCACTTGTTTGGTCATGACAACGGAGGTAGGTTTCCTCACCCTCGTTCTGGGCTTTGTATTCTTAACATAGTTTTAGATTTTACGGTCTATGCTCTACCGTGGCTCTGAGATCATGCGTGAGGTCGCGTGGGTGGTCTTCGATGAAATCCATTATATGCGTGATGCGAGTAAGTCTCTTCGGGTGTGACGCTGGGATTCATCTCGTTAACTGGGGATATAGCCCGAGGTGTGGTTTGGGAGGAAACCATCATTCTGCTTCCAGATAAGGTTCGATATGTGTTCTTGTCCGCCACAATCCCCAACGCCATGCAATTCGCCGAATGGATCGTCAAGATGCACAACCAACCTTGCCACGTTGTTTACACCGATTACAGACCGACACCCTTACAGCATTATTTCTTCCCTGCTGGTGCCGAAGGAATCCACCTGGTTGTGGATGAGAAAGGCGTTTTCCGTGAGGAAAACTTCCAGAAGGCTATGAGTACTATTGCGGACAAAAAGGGCGATGACCCAGCGGATGCCATGGCCAAGAGGAAAGGAAAGGGCAAAGATAGGAAGTTGAACAAAGGTGGAAATAAGGGTCCAAGCGACATCTTCAAGATTGTCAAGATGATCATGATCAAAAATTATAATCCTGTGATCGTCTTCAGTTTCAGCAAGCGTGAATGCGAGTCAGGTGCTCTGCAGATGAGCAACCTGGCCTTTAACGACGACTCTGAAAAGGAAATGGTTTCCAAGGTTTTTAACAGCGCGATTGAGATGCTCTCAGAGGAGGACAGAAATCTCCCCCAGATTCAAAACATTCTACCTCTCTTGCGCAGAGGTATCGGTGTCCACCACTCTGGTCTTCTTCCAATCCTGAAGGAGACCATTGAAATTCTCTTCCAAGAAGGTCTCATCAAGGTTCTTTTCGCTACTGAAACATTCTCTATCGGTCTCAACATGCCTGCGAAAACCGTTGTCTTCACAAGCGTTCGCAAGTTCGACGGATTCAGTCAGCGTTGGGTCACCCCATCAGAATTTATTCAGATGTCCGGTCGTGCTGGTCGAAGAGGTCTCGATGACCGAGGTATTGTAATTATGATGGTTGGTGAAGAGATGGATCCTGCTGTAGCGAAGGAGATCGTCCGTGGTGAACAAGACCGACTGAATTCGGCGTTCCATCTGGGCTACAACATGATTCTGAACCTCATGCGTGTAGAGGGTATCTCACCTGAATTCATGTTGGAAAGATGTTTCTACCAGTTTCAAAATACTTCCGGCGTTGCCACCCTTGAAAAAGGTACGTGTATATCCATGTGTTGATACTATCTCATCTTGCTAACTTGCGTACAGAGCTTGCTGAGCTGGAGGAGAAGAGGGCCAACATGACTATTTCTGACGAAGGAACCATTCGTGATTACTACGATCTGAGGAAACAAATTCGCCAATTCACCGATGACATGCAGGCAGTTATAAGCCATCCCAATTACAGCCTTCCCTTTATTCAGCCTGGACGCTTGATCAGCATCAAGCACAAGGATGTAGATTTCGGATGGGGTGTCGTTGTCAACTACAAACAACGCAAGACCCCGAAGAATTCGGCTGAAGAACCTACACCGTACCATAAATATGTTGTTGACGTTCTACTGAGAATCGCCGACGGGCCGTCGGTCGGCACTAAGACCTTTGAAGATCTACCGTCCGGCGTCAGGCCGCCGAAGGAGGGCGAAAACTCCCGCATGGAGGTGGTACCAGTAGTCCTCAGCTGTGTCCAATCCATCTCTCACATTCGAATTTTCCTCCCGAAGGATCTACGCTCGGCAGATTCAAAGAATGGGGTACAGAAGGCTCTGGATGAAGTGCAAAAACGCTTCCCAGATGGCATCGCTGTGCTTGATCCGATTGAAAATATGAACATCAAGGATGATGGCTTCAAGAAGTTGCTCAGGGTAAGATAAGCCTCGTTGTGAATGGGTGTCGAAGGTGTGCTAACGCAGACTGCAGAAAATTGAAGTGCTCGAATCTCGTCTCCTCTCTAACCCATTGCACAATTCGCCACGTCTGCCGGAGCTTTATGAACAGTACTCAGATAAGGTTGAAACTGGATCCAAGATCAAGGCCACCAAAAAGAAGATCTCGGAGGCTATGTCGATCATGCAGCTTGACGAGCTCAAGTGCCGCAAGCGAGTGCTTCGTCGGTTTGGATTCATCAATGAAGCCGAGGTCGTGCAGTTGAAAGCCCGTGTGGCCTGTGAAATTAGCACGGGTGACGAGTTGATGCTCAGCGAGTTACTTTTCAATGGTTTTTTCAACAATCTTACGCCTGAACAAGTCGCTTCGGTGCTGAGTGTGTTCGTTTTCGAAGAGAAGTCCAAGGAGACCCCTGCCCTAACACGGGACGAGTTGGCGAAGCCCCTCAAGGAAATCCAGGCGCAAGCCCGAGTCGTTGCCAAGGTTTCTCAGGAGTCAAAGCTCGCCGTCAATGAAGAGGAGTATGTGCAGAGCTTCCATTGGGAGTTGATGGAGGTTATATATGACTGGGCGAATGGCAAGTCCTTCGCTGATATCTGGTGAGTCCCCATTTGCCACCGTTTAGTTCGAAGTGTGACAAGACGCTAATGATTCCTTTCTTTCATCACATCAGTAAAATGACGGATGTGTACGAAGGCAGTTTGATCCGAGTCTTCCGCCGATTGGAAGAATGTTTACGACAGATGGCACAGGCCGCCAAGGTCATGGGGAGCGAGGAACTTGAGAGTAAATTTGAGACCGCCTTAACCAAGGTCCGCAGGGACATTGTTGCCGCCCAGTCCTTGTATCTATAGACGTACGACTCCTACTACTACTACAACTACCACCTTACTTCTATTACAGCGATATTACTTTCATCCCAACCATCGTGTTTCCACTCGTGTCTGGCAAATTGTCATGATGAGTGGTGGTGGTGGCATTTCCCTGGCGTCGGAGGGCTCGAAAAACAGGGTATCATCGTTTGGTTTGCTTTCCGTGTAATTACTTTACCATATGTTTATGGCGAAATGAAATAAAAATTAAAATTTATGAAAAAATTTTGCGTATACTTCCCACCCCCCCTCAAACTTTGTATTATTATGATGATTGATGATGGTAACGATGATCATGGCAAGGGGGCCCAGAGCAACGGAAATCAGTCTAAAACAAAACAAAGATTCGAGTCACTGTTTGAGTTTTTATGAACCTTCAAGACTGAAGTTGAGGCCAAAAAATATAAATATATTAAGAGAAAAAAAAAGAATGTAAGGAAAGAAAATGACGATAAGGAGTAATGTCGTAGTCATCATGGACGTTCGACCTGCGCAAAAGGCGTGCGTTGCCTCCCGCAACCGCCTTTTCCAGTCCACCGCTTCTCTTCTTTCTCTCTTCCCCACCAATTCCATCTTCTCTCCCTCACTCCTTCAGTTTCTCTTCCTGTATTTTTTGTCTTTCCCTTGCATTATCTCTTCCCTCAGCACCTTCTCCTCGTGCCCTGTAGCTGACTGCTTATAATACCCCATATCACCGTCGTTCAGTCAGCGTCAGGTTTCTTCCATCTCTCCGCCCACCAGCTGTCCGTGGTCATCATGAACAGCTTGGTGGCTACACCACCTGTGCCTCCACACTTTTACGAATATTCCCGTCTCTCCTCCCCTCGTCCAAGTAGGAAACCCCCCTTACATTGATAACTGATGGTCGAGATAACGAATATGCTGATGAATATCCTCCAGTGTCTACACCAACATACACCCCTAATAGCCGCAAGCGGAAAGCCGACGACGATGGTAACGATCATGACGGACGAATGTCTGCCTCCCCGACGAGCTCGCCAGCCTTCACACCGAGGTCTCTTCCAAGTCGAAATCTGAAACGGGCCCGCCCGAATGTCAGCGGTCGACCCCTGTCGCTTCCTCGTTTGCTCGAAACCTTAGATACAGATGCTCTCCGAGGGGTCCTTCGATCGATGTGTGAACGCCATCCGGGACTAGTTGATGAAGTTGTCCATACTGCCCCTCGCCCGAGTGTGTCTTCCGCTCTTCAGGTGCTTCGAAATTACCAATCTACTCTCCAATCCTCCTTCCCCTTGGGTGGCAACCCGGCATCCGACTACGCTTATAACCGGGTTCGACAACCTCTATCCAATCTTCTAGATGCCTTGAGCGACTTCACACCACACTTCTTACCACCGAACGAAACCCAACCTTCTTTATCTCTAAATTACCTAGATGGCGCCACCGAAATCATTCACGTATTACCACGATGGCACACCCCCCAAAACAACATAGAGCGGGACTCTGCATACGATGAAATCTGCAAGGCCTGGATCCTTGTGATCCGGGAGGCTGCCAAACGTGGCGGAGGCATTCAGTTACAGTATGGTGGCTGGGATCAGAAGTTGACGAAGCACAACCAAAACTCCGGTGGTAAGCTGCAGGCGGCCGTCAACGAGCTTGGAGCCAGTTTAGGATGGATGCACGGACCTGAAACCCAAAGCCATGCAAGCCCAGGTGGTAATGACTTTGGGTCCATCCGGGAGCAGCTGCTGTCCGGCACATACGGACTAGGAACTCCAGTTAAAGTTGGGCCATGGTAAACCCACCAGCTTCTACGACCTATTTATACCCTACGATTATCCTAGAGACACCCATATCTTCTCGTCTTCGATATCCCCAGAACTACTGTCTAAATCCTCGACCGTGCACATCTACGTATGATACGATCACGATACCAACTGCATGAACTAGAGAGTTGAGGGTCAACTTGGCGTTTACAGTGTGCAAAGAGACATTCTTCTTTTTTTTTTTTGCCCTCTCATTTTCATCTTGTGCCAGTCAGAGTCCATCTGTATGTTGCCTTTCCTTAGATTATTAGCCCGTGACCCAGGTTTCACTTTATCATCACCATGTCATTGTGTCATCAAGATTAAGCATGGTTTTCTATCCTTTCTTGTTTCATTTCCTTTGGTTTTCTTTCTTATTCTACTACGATCGACATTTCGGACGTTTCTTGAACTTTCTACCGAACTATATTCATTAGGTTTCTATCTTACCTACCGTTTTACCTGACTTGTATACCCTTTCATATTTTTCTTTATTCTATTGGAATGTGACTTGTGTTTTGTTCTCTTTACATCTTGGGAGGACTCATTTATATACTGGAATTTTCGGTCACCGGGTCAGGTTACGTGTCAAGTAAAGGACAAAAAGAAAAAAGAGAAAAAAAATATTCTGATTTGTGTCACTGTTCTATGGACAGTGCACGCAAGATGGATTGAACAACTCAGAGGACCCATCAGCCCCGTTACGTGGGCATCTGCGCAATTTCCTCGGGGGTAGTGGAGCGAGTGGGTTGAACCCGTGGAACCAGTATCAGAATTGGTGACAGGGGTCTGTTGGGCAGAATCAACTCGGTGAGGAAGAAGGCCAGTATTGTTGGAAAACAGACTTTATGTCTACCAAAGAGGACGTATTGTTTAACAGATATGTAAAAGATGGAGTAGAGAGTTGTGAAGTGACGTTTAGAACAGTGTTATATTAAATATCATATGCGTTACAATACATAACGAGGAAATATTCGTATAGTCATCATATTCATGTCTTAGGTTGAACAATTATATATCTCAAAAAGCAACCCACAATCTGACATTCTATACGCCCCCCCATACTTTACTCAAGTAATAAAACAATACTCATAACAGCGCACGCTTCATCACACCAAATAGCCACCATGCATCTTCCCAGCCCCCATGGTCGCCTGGTTTTTCTGTCACCGGGGGGGCCTCAGAATCGCCAATGGTCGACGCACCATCAGTTCTATCAGTCCGTCCTGATATGGATACCTGGTCGTCTTCATCAGCGACACTAGGCTCTGCCCACTCAACATTCTTGGGAGCCTGGTCAACAGGCCCGTTGGAATAAGACAGTGGCCAGTCGTCAACACCAAATACTGTCCATTCCACCATGCGATCAAACCAGCTGCCCAACCCAAAACCGCGCTCTCGGGTCAAGCGCTGCATCTCCTGTTCATCGATATCATCTTCCGAGTCAGAGTACTCGTCAGATTCAGAGGTATATTCCTCTTGTTGAATGATCGCCATCTCCGCACGGATACGCTCGTCCACAAAATCCGGGACGAAATGCCGCACATCAAGCGCAGGACTCTCTAGACTTCCACTGTCACCCTGCCTAGTAGAAGTCATCTCGAGGCCGGTCATGGTAAGGTCAGGCCGACTGCCCCTTCGACTGACAACGCGCGACCGAGAGGCCGCCGGGGTTGACCGCCCGGACCTGGATTTCCTAGTCACTTTGCTAAAGTGACCAGGGGACTCCACGTCGTAGTTAGCTTCATCAACTAGACTAGTCGAGCTCTCTCGCTTCGCGAGCCAACTTTGACCCTTCTCTTCTCGGGTCGACGAAGCTAGTGCGATCCCAGCGCGGAGCACCCACTCTGCATCACGACGACCAGCTGAGTCTGACGGCTGATGGCGAGATGAATGTCGCTTTGTCTTCGGCGCTTGGTGGTGAAATGGTTGAGTATCATCTTGACCTTGGAGGTTGGTATCGCTCAAGTGTGCGCGGGTCGAGCTTTTACTCCGCTGGTGATGTCTAGCCTGGACCCGCTGCGGGAGTGAGACAGGAGACCTGGGGTACCGGGAACGGAGTAACTAGAGAGATACGAAGTCTTTGTGGGGATATCATGGGCGCTGTAGTAGGACTCAGCATCTTCAGCTCTTGGGGTAAAGTAATCCTGGTGCTCGACATCGTCATCAATAGGGAATCGAGATGTCAATGGAGCCAGAGAAGCATGATTTAGTGAGGGATAAGAGCGGCGCGAGCGAAAGCCGCCCCCGGAGTGCGAAAGCTGCTGTGGAGTCATTAGAATGTAATTTATTACTACCCGTCAGCAGGGAAGTGCATACCTCCATCTAAGGTGCCTGGGGCCACGGAGGGCAATAAATATCGGAAGAGGGAACTAAGAGAGTGGCAAGCTCATTAATGGTATGATGGATGCAGCAACTCATGAGATTTTGGAGGGTTGTTGGCCTTGTTTTGTCGGCAACTCCGCCCGTGACATGTGAATGCGGGCACCAACGGTTTTGCTCCATGCTGGACTTTTTTCTTATAACCTTAGAGTTGTTTACTTTCTGTTAGGTAACTTGGTGGGATTCTCCTTGATCAGATAGTAGAGTCCTGTTGATATCACTACGTCAGCGCTCAAACTACGAATTCTATGAGACATTGTTTTGGTGTACTCCGTTTCAAGACATTGTTTTCTCCGTACATATTTCTGGCATTCGATATATACGTCGGTATAGAAAGTCAGACCTGTCCATTAATTCATTCGAGATGGATATTCAGACGATGTTTTTTATGATTTATTTCTTTTCCAAGGCTTACTCAATCTTTCCCTTATTGACAACAAAGCCCTCCATGGCCGAAATCGCAGCCCACAGCCGATTCTCCGCCTCATGGAAGACCAGGGATCGCGGGCTGTAGAAAACTTCGTCGCTGACTTCCTCAGGGTGACGAGGCAGGCAGTGCATGAACTTCCAGCCTTCGTTCGCACCACCGCGCTTGGCAAGTTCCGGAGTGATCTGGAAGCCTTCGAAGTCCTTCATCCGCTTGATCGACTCTGCCTCCTGTCCCATGGAAATCCAGGTGTCAGTCACCAGGATATCCGCACCCTTAACCGCCTCCTCAGGAATGTTGGTTTCAATGATCTTTCCTGGCTTCGAGACACCATTACTGGCCTGCTTGATGAACTCCAACATCGGAGCAGGAATCTCATAGCCCTTCGGGGTCGCAACGGCGATATCAATACCCAGCTTGGTAGCAGCGATCGCCATGTCGAACAGCACGTTGTTTGCATCGCCGACCCAGGCAATCTTGAGGCCCTCGAGACCCAAACTATCAGAGCGATGGGCCTTAGGTGTAAATGTTTCGTAGATGGTCTGGAAATCAGCAATGGCCTGGAGGGGGTGGAAGGAGTCACAGAGAGCGTTGATAACGGGTACCGTTGAGTGCTTGGCAAGGTCTGCAACTTCGGCGTGCTTGCCGACTCGGGCTACAATGCAAGAGACCATGGAGGAGATTACCACTGCAGAGTCATATAAGGACTCATTGACTCCGAGTTGGATATCATCCTTGCCTAGAAACATTGGATGTCCTCCCAAGCGCACCACGGCCCCTTCAGTAGATATCCTGGTCCTGGTACTGCGTTTGCTGAACAGCATGGCGACTGTTTGCCCAGTCATCGAGCCAAGCAGATTCTGAGGGATGGACCCGGACTTGATGGTTCTTTTGTGTGACGATGCATTGCGCACGAGGGTTGCGAACTCCGTTGAGGTAAGATCGGCAATGGAAAGAAAATGGCGAGGAGCAAACGGCGAGGTGGGGGGAGCCGTAGAAGTAGTCGTCTGAGAAGAGTATCGGCGCACAGCGTTGAGTGGGATCCTCTGGCGCAAGGTATGGTTGCTGTAACGAGCGGCGGCCGCCAGCTTTAGACCGCAAGTCATGATGAGATAATACAACGGTGGTGTTATGTGGTGAAGCAATTGAGGAAAGGAGGAATATATAGAGCAAGAACCAGGGGATTGAGATGACTCAGTTCTTACCGGACTAGAGGAAAGAGTCAACAGCAGCAACAAAAAAAGAAAGAAAAAAAAAAACGAAAGAAAGATCGTACCTTTAGCTCGCCCGTCGAGTCAGTTCAGTTACTAGTTAGCTTGAAAGCGTAAGTGTGACTCCTCCAATGTGATCCGCTTTTTCCGTCTCCACACCACGCCTTCTCCAGCTCGGGTTAGCGCGGTATGATTGCCGATCATCACGCTGATTCAAATTGATAGGCTATACTTCCAGGTCTGGGCCAATTCATCCTGCGTGCGTTGTCCATACGGAAGTCGATTATTCTGATTCTTATTCTTAGCCTGGACTTCCCCTTCTACCGACGCATAACCACCCGTAGCTTTCTGTTCTCAATCTACGGACGCTACCATCTCTTTATCATCCCTCTTATCTGCTCATAACGTATTGCTATCGTGTTATCTCCTCCACATCCCTCTCCCCCATCTCCCCACTTATCCGCCCCCAGCCATCATGGCTGAAGAGGCAAGCAAGCCTTTGCTGAACAAGGGGTCCAGACCCTCTTCGCGTCCGTCCTCACCGACCGACAAAAGACAATCCTCCGACTCGAGTCCTGCACCTCCATTCGAATTATCTTCCGAGTCCACCCCTTTACTCTTCAGCCGGGAAGAGGACTTGGCAACATATGGGGGCGTTACACCCAGACGAGCTTCGGCAGCTTCAGAAGGCTTTCTTTCCGCCAATGATTTAAAGAAACCACGAGGAAGAGTACGATGGCCAATATTCTGCGTCTTGCTATCTCTGCTTGCGATTATAACAATTCTAATATTCGCCTTTCTTGCGCCTGCTGTAGTGAAACAGTATGCAGTGGATGCCGCCGTGTTCAAGCCAACTAATATTTCAGTTGAGTCGGCTACGGCAGATGGAATTCAGGCGAGGATACAGGGAGACCTCGTTCTTGATGCGGGTCGCATAAAGAAAGCACCGGTGCGGAATCTTGGTCGCTTTGTCACATGGATTGGTAGGGAAGCCGAGACAGGCCAGTCGGAAGTCGAAGTGTATCTTCCAGAGTACGGCAACGTACTCGTTGGAACGGCATCTCTACCTTCCATCAAAGTCAACATACAGAATGGCCACATCAATCATGTTAACGTCTTGGCGGACCTAGTCGCTGGCGACATCCCTGGTATCCGCGCGGTAGCAGTAGACTGGTTAGAAGGGAGACTTGGCCGTTTACGAGTGCAGGGGAAAGCAACAGTGCCACTCAAATCTGGCATTCTGAGTCTGGGCGAACAGACGATAACCGACTCTATAACCTTCCATGGTATGTCACGCTACACTTTCTTTCTTTCTTTCTTTCTTTTGCCAAGTGATCTCTGACGTTGTATGTAGAGGGTGATTTCCCAACCCTCCCTAAAGTCAATGTTACAATGTTCAATGTGCACGATATAGATACGCCCGGACATGAGGGGGCTATGGCAGTAGATGCCTCCGTGGCTGCTTTTGTCGATTCGCCCTTTGGCCTGAGGATCCCTCCACTCGGGTTTGAGGTGCTCGTACCCAACTGCTCGCCAGGCGACCCATACATCTCAATAGCGGACGTCACAACAAAAGGATTCCCGATCTATCCTGGGCAGCCCACGTCTGTCGACGTTGCTGGAATTGTCCAGGACCTTTCTGATGATCTAACGAAGGCTTGCCCTGGAAAGAAAAAATCTCCCTTAGATTTTCTAATGAAGAGTTATATGGAAGGTCTTCAGACTACAGTTTATGTTCGTGGAGCGGACGTTCCGTCTCTGGGAACGCCTGAGTGGGTGGTAGACATTCTCAAAACTGTGACAGTTCCCTTGGCTTTTACAGGACATGCTCTGGACAATCTCGTCAAAAACTTCACGATGACAGATGTGCATTTCGACATGCCTAATCCTCTTGCAGATCCTGATACGCCCGAGTCTCAACCTAGGGTATCAGCCTTAGTGAAAGTCTTGATTGCATTGCCTAAGCAGCTAAACCTTCTTCACCTGGATGTACCTCGTGTTCGTGCCAACTCTGACATCTTTTATCATGGGAAGAAGCTCGGTGTTTTGAATTTACAAGAATGGCAACCAGCTAATTCCACTCTTCTGGAAAATGTCGATGGAGCTCCAGCTCTGCTCGTTGAGTTTTCCATGAAGCATACGCCACTTCAGGTGACTGATGGGGATGTTTTGACAGATATTCTACAAGCCTTGCTCTTTGAAGGACAGCCTGTGAGACTGACTGTTGCTGCAAATGTGGATGCAGAAGTCTCTACAGGGATTGGAACCTATGCTGTTCGTGGAATACCAGCCGAGGGTGCTGTGAACGTCAAGCGTGAGTCGCAATAACTTGAGACAGGCGTATTGGTTTGTTGATACCTGAGTAGCACCGTACGGTGACTCACTCGAACGACTGAGTCCACGGGTTGAATCGATAGCACTCGGACCTACAACTGAATCGTCACTCGTGATGAAAGCCAAAATTAACATAACGAATCCGTCACCATACTCCGCTTCGGTGCCTTTTATTGATTTAATTCTTGTCTACAATAAGACCAGAGTGGCCCACGTAACTGCTCGAGACCTTGTGATTGTGCCCGGGGTAAATTCAGGTATCCATGCCGACCTACAATGGAATCCACTCGAATTAGATGGCTCGGCTGGTATTACTGCTGGTCAAGAGATGCTATCCCGATATGTTTCCGGTGAGATTATCTACCTTCTGAGATCTTGTTAGGCGGGTCTGTTTGCCTAACTACTACCAGGGTATAACACATCCGTAACAATTCGCAGTCATGAGGGAACATTCCCGGCTCTACCAGAACTTGGACAGGCGCTCTCCAGGCTAGGACTTGAAGTCCCAATCCCGAGGGTGCCTGTCCCTGGAAACCCTAGTGATGAAGATGGAAAGCCAAAGTTTATCCAGGATACAACGGTACTGTCTACTTTCATGGAAGTCGTTTCTCTACACGACAATCACTATTAATGATATGTTCTCCTGGGGAACATCTTCCAAGTAAAGACAGTTTTCTACCAGGTGCTTTTGGTCTTGCTGACTTTTGCCTGCTACTAGCTACACCTATGGTCATCAACGGCGGAGTTCACATTGTCCTCCCCATTTCCTAATACGACCATAGAGATCACGTCGGTAGAAGCCAATGCCTTCTATCAGAAGCATGAAGAGGTTGGTAGTATCAATTACCACATTCCGTTCCCGGTGCCACCGGGACTCTCCACCACCCCGCGGTTACCTGTTGATTTAAATCTGAGTGGGATAGGATATGAGGCTTTGAAGAAAGCTCTTGGCGGTACACTCAAGTTGGATGCTGTAGCAAAGGTTGGCGTGCTAATTCGACACTATCGCACGACCATAACGTACTATGGCCAGGGGATCACCGCAAGGGTGAAGATTTAGTGTCATGGCTTTTGCGAGTGATATTTAGAAGCATCCACTTCTTTTCCTTGGGCGTTTTGTTTTTGCCTTCTCGAGCTACACGGGCTGGCGTTTGGGTATAGAGGGTACAGTATCGGCCGTCAGACATTTGTGCGGGGTTGAATTTCGGGATTGAGCAATTGGCTACCAAATGCAAGTTACCTTACCACTACCACGATTAAGAAATATATGCCTGTGAAAGCCGATAAAGGTAAATTGAACTAAGGTTCAAGTCGACGACATGGAAACATAGATAATGTACTCATGAGAAGTGCGTGACTCAAAATAAAAAAAAAGAACTGCTAAATTTTACACTAAATATTATAACTTCCGAGGAAAACAAGTTTGCTTCTTCATTGCGAATCTTTTTTTCATTTCGGATACCCATTTTAACCAGGAGGAAGGGTGCTCGCGTCGACAACGTCGGCAGCCTCCTTCTCAATCTCCTCAACCTGCTCGTGAAGAGGAGAACGAGGCAGAGCCATCAGACCGGTACGGGTAGACTCCAATACACCGAAAGGAGCGATGAGCTTCATGAAGGAGTCGATACGAGATGGCTTGGCAGAGCTATTAACAGCGTCAGTGAATGCACTAAGGTGTACATGGTAAATAGCAACTCACACTTCAACGATGCAGTTGTTGTTGCTAATATCAAGAACCTTGCCGCCGAACTGGTGGGTCAAGCGGGTGATGGCATCAAGATGCTCGTGCTTGTGTCTCAGTGCCTGACTGGGAGGAAGATTGCGGGGGTGGAATTCAGTGATCTGCTTCTGGCCCTCACCCTTATCCTTCTGGCCATCGAGGGTCTCACCGGGAGTGGTGATCTCGCGGTGGTGCTGAAGCAATTCCTCGAAGAACTCGGGACCCAGGATGCTGACCTTCGCAAGAAGCAACTCGCGCTGCACAAGAGCAGAGTCTGTGTAGTCGAGGACGGCCCAGACGGGAACGAGATCGTCCAGCTGGCGACGGGCCTGCTCGACGACACCATCCTGACCCTGCAGCACGATGGTCATGCGGGACAGATCTTCGACCTCGGTGTTACACACGACCAGACTGTCAATGTTGAAGCCACGAGCGGCCAGAATTCCTGACACGCGGGAGAGAACACCAGGCTCGTTCTGCACCAGACAATTCAGGATATGGCGCTTCGGGGGGTTGGTCGGCGCAACGGGAGTCTCGTACAGAATCGACGAGACAGCAGTCGGGGCATCCCATTGTGGAGAGGAATCCGACACAGGAAGAGGAAGGGGAGAGCGACGATGGAGTGCCTTGTAGGCGAGGGCGGAGGTCGAGCTGGAAGAGGCTCTAACTGTGGTGAACCGGGGCAGAGTCGCAGCCACTCGGGCAGTTCTGCCAGCAACGGAGGAAAAAGGCGCTGATGCTGTCTTAGACAGCATCAAAGGACGCCGGAAAGCCATGGTCTCCCGAATTGGCCTGCAAGAGAAAGCAGGCAATACGAAGGAAACGATGGAGGCAGTGACTTCACACTCGGCGGATGGGGATTGTAGTCATAAATCGCATTTTATAGTCGAAGACTTCCGAGGTCGGGGTGCTGACTCAGGCTCTGGTACGGAGTCGGTCACTGACTCCGGAGCATTACCGCTATACCACTTTGGTCCCAGTGCAGCATTGGCTTGCTTTTTTTGGGCCCAGATTCATTCGTGACTCTTGCTTCTGGTTGGTGTCAGTGCGTGTGTATGGGTGTATGTCACGGTGTATCTCAGATCACTGCCAGATCATCGTTTGCTTTTCCTAAAGATCTGTTCTCAGTGAGGGTTCAGCCTCCTGTTCTGGTACCGAATTGTACTTCGACATCTCGATCTTCTTGGGTTACATCTTCTCGCTCATTGGTCCCACCGCCCCAGAGTCCTGTAAATTCGTTACGACCTCCAATTCGCTGCTCATTGTTACGCTAGCGTCCAACCAGGTGATCCGTCGCTCTCCACCGCCTTCAAAGAAGTCCTTTGCGGTGGTACCAGTCTTTAGAGCATCACTCGCATTGTGATTGCTCCATTTCCTTCTTGTTCAGCTCTCAAACATCTAAAATTGCCTGTTCATCATGGCTGACGACGAACGCCGTGTCAAACGATCCCGCTTTGATCAAACAGAACCGGAGCCTCGCCGGGCCTCTCGTTTCGATCGTCGTTCTCGATCTCCCTCGTCGCGACAGTCTGAAGCTACTCGCACTCGGAGCCCTCTTAGTCGCGAACCTCGAAGCCCTAGCGCAGACCCGGCAAAGAAGTCTGGGGGTGCGGACCCTGCTGCCGCAGCGGGTATGACTGCCCTCCCTTGCGCTTTTGTAGAAATTGGTGGATGGGATCTAAGAGGCTGACATCGTGACAAAATATAGCTGCCGCAGCGGCCAAGATCAACGCTCAGTTGCAAGCAAAGAAGGGGATTCAGCATGTTGATGTTCCACCTATCCGTTCGGTGAGTATACCATGCGTGACTACTGTTGCTCAAACCCAGGAACATATCCAACTAACTGATTGTCCTGGTAGGCCACAAGTCCCGCACCGGCAGCCGCATCACCGTCCGCTGGAGACGCATCCGCGAAACTTAACACAGACATTTACGTTGCTGATGGAGACTATATCAAGGACATTGAAATTAATGACTTGCGTAACCGCTACACACTGACCAAGGGCTCTACTCAGAAGATGGTAATTACTCCTGTTGCATCCGCTGATATTCCAGGCATACTTTCGCAAGCTGGTTTCCGCTGCGGCCATGCGCCCCTTCACCCTTTGCCTTTTCTTATCTTTTTTCTTTCTTTTTCTCCGCATAGGGTCGTGGCCAAAGCTTACCCAGTCCTAATCATCCATAGCATCCCATTTCCCCTCGTTTGCATCTGCTGACCTCCGCTGCGTGACCTCTAGATCAAGGAAGAAACTGGCGCCGGTACGCCTTCACTCCATGTTAAACTTGTCAACTACTTAGTGAAGAAAGAAGCTCATCTCTAATTTTTGTTTTAAGATGTCACGACTCGAGGAAACTATTATCCGGATAAGAGCATGGCAACTGCCGCGGTATGTGAAATTGTCAACGTGTGGTGATGAGTGACTATCTAACAGAGTACCTCCACTCTCCATAGAACCCCCCGCTGTACCTACATGTGACGAGTACGAACAAGGAAGGCCTCGAAAAGGCCGTGGATTTGATCGACGAGCTCATGAAGAAGGAACTCCCCAATCTGGTCGATGAGCGCCGATTCCGTCGACGTGAGCCGGAACAAGTGGAACGTGACGAATACGGTCGTGTATGAAATTGCCGGAATATATTCCATAGGGCTGAGAGGCATGCTAACTATTCTCAGCGTAAATGGCCCGAAGAGCGGATTCCAGTGGACTTGGAGCCAATTCCTGGCTTTAACCTTCGTGCCCAAGTGGTCGGACAGGGCGGCGCGTATGTAAAGCATATTCAGCAGAAAACTCGATGCAAGGTCCAAATCAAAGGTCGGGGCTCCGGCTTCATGGAACCCAGTACCGGCAGAGAAAGCGAGGAACCGATGTTCTTGCATGTTGCGTAAGAAACTTACCCCCTCATCTCGAAGCTCGGAAGGTTAACAACGCACAGTGGACCCGACCCCAACGACGTGAAGAGCGCAAAGGAGTTGTGCGAGGACCTTTTGGCCAATGTTCGAGAACAGTATCAGCGCTTCAAGGAGAACCCACCCCAGCACAACTATGGCGGATATGGTCAGCGTGGAGACCGTTATCAGGGAGGGGGCTATGGTGGAGGCTACGGTGGGGGTCATGGGGGTGGCAGTGGCAGTGGTGGTTATGGGAATCATTCTCACCAGAACTCACCCTCCACCTCTGGTAGCCCTGCCACGCAAGGCGCAACAGGAACATCGGGAGGACAGAACCTAGCCGACTATAGCGCACAGTATGCCCAGTACTACGGATCCGATCCCTACGCTGCCTACGGTGGATATCAAAACTACGTCGCCTACTACCAATACTATCAACAATATGCCCAACAGCAGCAACAGCAACAGTCTCAGCCGCAGTCGCAGTCCCAAAGTCCCGCTCCCCCTCCCCCTCCTCCGACTAACGAAGCGCCGCCTCCTCCGCCTCCCGGTTCAGGTTCCCCCCCTCCACCTCCTCCGGGTGGCAGCTACAGTGCAGTACGTATTTGCCAGGGCCTCATTAAAGACTGGCCTGCCTTGACTGACTCGGTATGATATAGGTCCCACCGCCACCAGGCCTGTGAACCTGTCCTCCCCTAGTTATTTGAAATGGACAACAACCGCAAAAGCAGGAGGAATCGAACTACCCTACCTTGGTATCGTTGCCGATAAATTCACCTACTTATTGGCCAGGTGTAACTTATAGCTTATCCCTATGTTTGACATCTGATGAATTCGGATTTGGGCAATATTGTCTTCGTGCTAGAAAAGATTGGAATTCGTCGCTCATCTCCATATCTTTCTTTTGCGCAATGCTTAAAAGCGTAGTAGAGAGCATTGGTTTTCGGATGAATAGTATATTGGAGAATCGTATACTTAGCTGCTATTCTTTGAATGCCACGTATTGAGAATTCTGGGCTATGTCGTGCCGATTATATTGCTCGAAGAGAGAATAGAATAGGTACGCAATACCAAACGTCGTCCCTATACGGACATCCCGAAATCTAAGATAACCATCTCTAGTAGGGGTATCAATCTGATTATATAATTCGTCTACCCCTGTATGTCGTTGAATATACACAAGAGCATAGGTTACATTCATCCCTAGTCGAAGCCGGAAAAAGCATCCGGATACATTGCCTCCATGTTTGACATGTAATCCCACTGCGTACAGTCCATCAGCTCATTCGCAATGGCCATCCTTGCCTTGCGAAGCGTTAGACTCCTGGGGCCTTCCTTGCAAAAGTCACAAGCAAAGTCGCACGGTGATGCGCCTGAGCCGGTTCTCGTTTCGGAGCTCGGGGCCTGAGAGCCCATCCTCTCGAGTTCCAGGTCTCCGAAGAACTCCTTGATCATCTCATGTCTGCACCGGCTAGTTGACTCACAATAGCGAACAACTTTTTGGAAACTCCGCAGCCGAGCGTATTGGTTTTGTAGATTGCTGTTAGGATCGTCCTTTGGTGCTCCGTTCGCTGGTTTCTTGTTGGCGCGGTTGTAGGCATTTTCAACGTCTCGCCGGAGACGATCGAGTGCTCTGTCTCGCTCTTGGGTGTTGTAGTATACAATTGATGCGGCGGCACGACCATCACGACCTGCACGACCGGACTCCTGTACGAACCCCTCGAAGCTTCGGGGAGAGTTCCAGTGGATTACGAATCGAACATGGGGGTTATCGATTCCCATGCCGAACGCATTAGTTGCGACTATTATGTAGAAAGCCGGGGGTTGGCCGTTTGGTTCTGGGATTGACTGCGGAGAAGTCCACTGGGACTGGATCTGAGTCCTGTCCTGGGAGGAGAGACCGGCATGATAAGCAACCGCTCGGATGTTGCCGTTCCATGATGTTGACAGAATGCTGGCAAGGTTCTCCGAGGCTGATCTAAAGGAAACGTAAATGATACCAGATATAGGCGGAAGATTAGCATTTTCTCCGCCTAATCTGGCTTCTCGGCGGCTCTGGATGGACTTCAGCCAGGCGACGAAGTCGTCAACTTGGGCCTTTCCAGAGTCTCCCGAATCGTCGATAGCATTTGGGAGATATTTGATCTCGTAGTGGATGTTTGGTCGAGCGGATGGTGTATTGAAAATCCTCAATCGGCCGGGATCTAAACCAAGGAGGTTAATGATATCCTTGCGGACACGCGGGGTTGCAGTCGCTGTGCAGGCGCTGATCGGAACTGGGGGGTTGTTCAAGGCCCGCTTGAACCAGGAGAGTTCCTTGTACGCTGGACGGAAGTCATGGCCCCATTCACTGATGCAGTGGGCCTCGTCGATGGCGACGCGATTCAGCTCCCCCTGGGAATGGATGGTTTGGAGATTTCGCCGGAACATCTCCGTTTGGCATAGCTCTGGGGTGACATAAAGAAGCCGGATTCGGGGATGCCCTGAGAGAAGGTCTGCAAGGATCTCGCGTCTCTCTGAAAGAGAGGTCGTCGAATTGATTGTTGCCACTGCTACTCCTAAGGCTTGCAGCGCGTTTACTTGGTCGGTCTGCAGGTGCGTTGCTTCAATGACGTGGATTCCTGGTATTGCATCCGCTTTAACTTACCATCAATGCAAGGAGAGGACATACAACGACAGTCACTGTGTAAGAGAGGAATATTTAGAATACGTCGAACGGCTCAGACAGAAGTCTACATGATGGAGGTTGACCGACCGCCATGGCTGATGACGGCAGGCAATTGGAAGCACAAGCTCTTTCCAAAGGATGTGGATGCCTGCAGGAAGACATCGTGGCCTTCCACAGCTGCGGTGACTACCTCTCGCTGTAGAGGACTATTCAGAGCTTTCGGTTAGTTTAAGTGCTAGCCCAAGAGTAAACGAACTCACCGGAATGACTTCTTTCGGAAAACCCGATGTAGATAAAAGTCCAAGTCTACCTTGCGACGCTTCAGATTGCCGTTTATCATCTCCGCTGCATCTTTAGGTCGAGAAATTTACGGTTTTAATGGAAGAAAGAGAAGGCTTGTTTCAATTTACTTCGGGAAAGTCCTGCGCAACGCGTTGGAGTAGAAGACGGAACGCGATATCACGTGGGATGGCAGTCATTACTTTTCCTGATGTAGTAATAGTGGTAAACAGTGACCTCGGAATGTCTGGTTTATCTTCGGGATGTCCAAGTCTTTTGAAGTTCAATTTATTATTGCTAGAACGAGATGTCACAAAAATATTCACTGTACAGGATCAAGATAGTGCAGTTGGTCTAATGGCTGTCATCAACTGGCATGCACCTGGAGGGTATATATAACAGGTCTATAATGTACACGCACTGAATCAAAATTCAGTCAGGCTTCAGTGTCTCCTACTGCCTTTGTTTATCTGCTTCTCCAGTTCCTCCTTCACGGCCATGACGTCAAGCGCTTTGCGTCTTTTGGGTTGCCAAAGTCGTTCGATGTGCAGCCAGACCTCCATAACTTCCTTCGGTCCGCAGCAGGCACCGAATGCTCGAAGAATAATGATAATCATCCGACGACCTAAAAATACTCCATTCTCGATCTGGCGCTCCAGCACTTCAAGCTCGCCATTCTCGGCATGCTGGTCTCGGCCCCGGTAATTGAACAGCTCGTCGGTATCAATGTCATCATCGAATTCGGTTGTTCCGTCATTGGCACCTAGTTCGTTGACATCCTCCTTGCTTGCTTCGTCAGTCTCGTCTACTTGCTCCTGCTGGTGTTCTGCAGACGTAGTATTTGCCTCGGACTTGCCCGATGGCAATGGGGTGTATAAACCCATTGGTTTTCTTGGCAGTGCAGGTGTCTGTGCTGCCAGCAATGCAGCGCTACTTCCTAGCGGATTTTCCCAAACGAGCTTTGCCGTGCGAAGATGAAAGCGGTCATTGAATCTGCTCTTTGATTCGTAAAGAGCGCGAAGATACGCTCGCCATGCATTCCACAGCCGTTCAGCAGTCCAACCCTTTCTCTTTCGGCCATTGTAAGCAAACCCGTCGAAAAGCAACAGATATATCATTCCACGCGGCGGAACTGTAAAGGTTTTTTCCATGTCACCTATAACCGACATGAAAGCGTGTAAGTTGCCCGATCGATAGGCGTGATGAGCAAGAAGAATATGGAATGTCCGCGTATCAGGTGTCATAGGAAGGGCTTCCTGCAGAGCTCGATGGTGTTCGGGTAGTCGGTCCTTAAGAGAAGCAGATACTTGTAAAAGCCGATTGAGCTTTCTGGACTTCTTGCGATAAACGATGAACTCCGAGGTCAAACTCGGCCCATGTTGTAGCCTCTCGAGATCAAGCTCAACTGTGTTCTGTGCCTGCATCATGCGATGGTATAATTGCTCGGCAGTCTTCGTCTCCCCAGCCCGAAGAAAGGATACTATCAGGCAGTTCAGTACCACTGTGTCAACAATCTCCCCACTAGTCACGAAGGCATCGAACGTCTGACGGATGCCATCCGCATCCTGCTGCATTCCACAGTAGTACATTTTGGAAACCTTTCCAGGGCGAGTAAAAGTTATTTCACGTTTCGCCATTTCCTCCATTAGACGGTCTGCGACTGTGAATTGACCAGCTTTAATGGCTATGTCGAAAAGGATGTTAAAGACGACGCCATCTGACTTGACCCCGGCCACATGCTCCATTTGCTGCCATAGACCGATTGATCTCACCAAATCCCTCTTGCACACTTTGCCAGATGCACGGCCCGCCAGATGAATAGCAGAGCTCCACAATGACCGCGACACCGGAAGTTTTGCAGCTACCATGTCTTCTATTATCCCGAGGTAGCGGCGAGCATCAACCCACCGGCGGTTAGGAGGGTTAGCGAATCGCCGCAAAAGTGCCCCTCGTGACTTTTTTGACAAGTACGAAACCCCTGGGTATGGAAGATCTCTGTACAGTCGGAAAATATATTGGTTGGACTTTTTTTCGTCCCACATGGCTTCAACGAATACCGCAACTGACTGGAGCTCAACGGCATCTTCTTTATTATCCTTACGAAGCACAACAGGTCGAGGTGACGATGATTCAACCTGCCCATCATCAACAACAGTGTCAACAGCCTGCTTCCAATCTAAGGAATCCCCAAACACAGAACGGTATAGTTTTGAGGTAGCTTCGTGTAATTCTTTAGCCGGGCTCGTCTTCCCGTGGTAGCGGGATAGGGTCGGCAGCGCAGGCGGATCTACTTGGTGGTCAAGTGCGCTTTCTCTGGAGGCAAGGCAAGGAGTGTTCTGTTCTGACTCTGGAGTGAAGGTGCCTGTCATCGACTCGCAATTCAATTCTTCGAGCGCGTGTTGCGGTGGTGGTAACCTCCCATGTAAATGTGGCCTTTGGTCTGATTCCGCATCTTTGTGATGTATCCTAGGCGAAGGTCTCTCTATTGATCGGTTTGATATATGAATGTCTTCGTTCTCGTCGTCTTCTAACTTTTGCGCAATGCCGGAGTTAAACATCCGTTGTGTTCTTGGACGGTGCACCACCCCCAGGCACTTCGCCGGTGACCCTAGATAATCCAGGCGTCTTTTCGACAAATGCACTGTGCTCGTCACACCCCTGTCTCGCCATCTCGCCATCTCGCCCCTCGAAGTCTTCACAGACATTGTTGACAGCCCTCGTCCTCGAGGGGAGTGCTCCCGGCAGTAGCCTGCCATCACCAGCGAGCTGACGAAAAGGTCTGCTATAGAGGCAGCGGACGGGCGAGGACGTCTGGAGCCGAGTCTCCGGAGGGAAGCATTGTAGGAGAATGATTCTGGCTTAGACATGGAACTGCAATTGACGGACAAGCACGTATCCAAACCCTGCGAAGGGGGCAGTCGCAGGTTGGGCGAGCTCTGGAACCTATTGGGATGAGGCATGAGACGGCAGACATCGTGGCATCGAGTCAACCGTGCATATCCCGAGGAGGTCTCGAGCAGATTGAAAAGAATTGAGCAGACTGCTCCTCGAGCGTGGCAGGCCGTGAATGAAGACAAACTCAAGATTTGGGGGGAAGAGAATGGGGGAAGGGTGGTTCTAAGGTGAAGCTCCGCGTCAAATTATTATGTTCTCTCTCAATAATCTCTTTGGCTTTGCACCGGAGCGGAGCCACGGTCGGTCCAATCGGAGCCGCCCATTGCCAATCCTCTTTTTCACCCGCGCGCTCGGCCACCATCACCAAAACTCCACGATCAAACCGTACCGCAGGTCTCCCTCGTTGTCCCCCGAGGAGATTGTCTTGGACCATTCCGTGCGTTCTACTTGGCCATCGGTCCCTCCCCAATTCTATCGTCCTAATCGGCCTATCCCCTACGGCCGCCCTTCTGGCCACCGCCTTCCTCCGATCCCGCCATGGGCAAATACAATCTCACAGCGCTCCGAGTCCGACAGACGGCGCTCCGACAGAAGGAGGCTGGTAAGACTCACCAGATCCCGAAATGGATTAATGTCGTGCGCGATATACCCCCCGCCCAGGTCCTTGTGCGGAACCAACAACAGCAGCACCAGCTCGTCCGACAGCGTGTGAAAACGCTTCCCGGAGCCTCGAAGCCGCAGGTCGTTTTTGAAGTTCAAGAGAAGCGTGTGAAGCCGAAAAAAGCCAGCCGTATGTTCCTGCCCACCGAGATCAAGTACGAAGAGGACCTGTTGCGAAAGGAGTTTTTCCGTGATCACCCCTGGGAGCTTGCGAGACCCCGAGTTGTGCTTGAAAGTACCGGAAAGGATTATGAAAATTATGACTGGAGCCGGCTCCAGCAACCAGGCAAGCGATTGGATGGTGAGAGGTATGTTTTTTTTTCTCTCTGGCTCATTGCTTCCAAATGAATGTCACCCTAGTTATATCGTGATCCCCGACGCTAAACATTTCAAAACAGCGTCGTCCAGCGTCAGCTCTGGCTCCTTAACAATGTCCCCGATATGACTAAGAGCACCGCCTATGATATTGCGCGCCGTGAATTCTATCGTCTACGTCTCCAGGAAGATATTGAACGACGAGTCGCTGCCGAAGAAGCCGAGGCCACCGGCGCTACATTCGGACCTACCCGCCTTGAAGTCGGCATGGAACTTGAAAACCAAGAATATGAACGCTGGAAGGTATGGGCTAAATCGGAAGCCCAGGTCCAGGAACAGAGGACAGCAGCCTTTACCGGTGCTCCGGAGATCCCAAGTACTGAAGCAAGCTTGGGGCTAGAGGAAGGGGCTGAAGAGAGGCAGCCTCAGCAGGCGTAGGCCATACAAAGCATGAATATCTTGATAGAACTCGATTGAACTGGTCTGGGTATTTTGGGGACTAGACATCTCGATGGTTATGTATAATACTGGATGTATTCTCTTTTTCTGATATTGTTTATGTGTTTCTACAATTGCAACTCCACTGCCCATGATTTCGGCGAGGATTGATATTTAATTTGTGCAGAAGTGCCGCTTCAGGGCTTACCCAATTCCATGATTCATCCAACACGCTGGTTTTGTTTTGGGTGGTGATGTATGGTACTACTACTAGTAGTACTAGAAGTCTGTCTCGGGGAATCGAAAGCGACATTGATATGGGGAAAGACATATGCAACCATCGAAAGAAAGAAGCAGAAGAAGGCGGATTGAAAAGCAACAGCGAAAGATATGTAGGAACTATAAAAAATGCCATACCAGTCCGAATCCAGCGACGATGATCCCGACCAGCACTGCAGGGTTGTTACGGGAGACGACCAATCAACGGGGGGAACTTATCGCTCCCCCCAATTTGATCGCCTGGTGTTTCAACTTCAATCCTGACCCGGACTTTCTCTCGGAAACCTCCTGGGAAATCGCGGCGCCTGTTTGATCTTCAATTCGTTCCTCGTTCTTTAAACCCCTAACATTACCCGGTTTTTATTTTATTTTATTTTATTCTTTTTTTACGATCAGACTGCTCCTTGGTGTGCATCCTCGACCGATCAATTTGGGGGGCTTCTGATCTGACAGCTGCACTTTTTCTCCGCGTTTCACTAGTTACAGAGGGCCACTCGCTCCTATCGCCGGTTTCTTCTATTCTCATGGGCCCGGCGACCACCGATACCTGATTGTCGAGTCTCACATCCAACCTGTCAGATTGACAGCTCAATTGCTCTGGTCTACGATCAGTACTGCCTTTCGATCCCTACGAATCGAGCGAAATTGGGCCATTTAGGAACCCAACGGCGATCATCGGGCTTTGTTTCGCGCCTCCATCGAAATCAGAAGCGCCGGTTTCTTCACGCAGCACGACTTGAGTAGTCTACCTGAGAAGGACGAAGAAAAAAAAAATAGCAATAAAGTATTTCGACTGCCTTTCGATGCGTTCATAATCCTGCTGTCGCAGCGTTAGTTGATCATGCTTCGCCTCCATTCTCTCGCCCGTCTCGTGGATATTTTGATACATTAATTGACCGTTGGAAACGGACCGGCCGTCAAACATTTCAATTCACCTATTTACCCTCCCCTTCATCCTCCGCCATGCTTTCCACTATGACACGCCCAGAGGATTCGATCCGAATGCCTCGCTCCTACCATGGTGACGTGGACGAGGAAGATGCGAACAGGCGAATTCCGGAACTTCCTATTCTTTCTTCTTCTTCTTCGTCGTCGTCGTCGTCTTCATCCAATACTGAGCCGCTAGCAAAAAGTGAAGATGAGACAACACCCGTAATTGGATCTGCGGGTGCCAGGGTGGGCAATGTGGGCAATGTGGGCAAACCTAACACAGGGCCTCGACTTCTCTCGCCCGATGAGACTATTGAACTTGCTCGTTGCGCCGTGGACAATGGGATCTTTGAAACGAAACGCTCCTTGGCAGGAAGTGAAGCAGTTAGTGATGTCGTGAAACCAAAGTTGACTATCGACCTGGGCCATTCGAACATCGTTCGCATTCCGGAACCAGTGGTGGACATAATTAAAGACGAAGTCGAGCGGTATGTATCTCTTACCGGACTGTTTTCTAGTACCACAAGGTGTTTCATCTTCTTTGTAAGAGGGGCTGCTGATCATTTTTAGACTCTCCTTATCAAACAATCATCTGTTTCACATTCCATATCGTTTTGCGGAGTGTTCCCATCTTCGGTACCTTAATATTAGAGCGAACAACTTCCGGGAATTTCCCAAGGGTGTACGTGATACATGACCGGCTGTACAACATGGCTTTTACACAGGCTAACATGGATACCAGGTTTACAAATTGCCGCTTCTCGAAATATTAGATCTCAGTCGTAACAAGATTAGCCATCTTCCCGAAGAAATCAAGAAACTGACTTCTCTTCGGGTGCTGTCGGTGATGCAGAACCGCCTTGAAGATGTTCCCCTTGGGGTATCTGATATGAATAAGCTTCAGATCCTGAAGGTTGCTGGAAACCCCTTGCGGAATCCGCTACGAGAGCTCTTAGAGACCTCCGAAACAGATATTGCACCCTCAGCTATGACAGATAACGAAAAAGAGGTCGCGGTAACTGCAGAGCTAAAACGATTCCTGAAGACCAAACAGCCTAGCACGACACCAGAGAGTGAAAGAGGCAGCGATGCAAGGTTAGAGCATTTACCCTGAGATGTACTAACATCGACTGACGTTTGCGTATAGTGAAACAATTTGGGACACACCTAAACCCGTCAAACGTGGAATAAGCAGCCGCTTCCCGGTCATCCCAAGTACATGCGACATCTCTTCTGATCCCAAATCACCGTCACTATCGCGGCCTCCACCAATTCCACTTAAATCCCACTACCGTATTGCCTCCGGCCAGAGCATGGTTTTCCACAGTATCCTCCCGCGACCTGGGACATATATCCCTGGTGTCAATGAACGCAACCGGAGTAACAGTGAGGGTATCATCCAGGCATCCATTGCCGCGCGAAGTAAACGGATGGGGGTTATCAGGAAAAATGCCGATCTCGGGAGATTGGATGAGACCCAGCCGTATCGGAACAGTCACCTTCGTGGCCTCAGTCATGGGTCGATCCTTCGACCAAGAGCACCGGGCGCAGCAGGCAGTAACTCGTCCAGCCCAAGCAGCCCAAGGGAGCGGAGGCGCTTGAAGGATTCTTTTGTCAACCGGATGTCAAGCCTGCCGGAACACAAGTGTGAAAGAAAAGCAAGGGAATCGATTATTGAATGCGGAAAGGGGGTCCTGTTTGCCCTTTTTCAGGTTCAGTCTCATGTATATGCTCTGATCAACGTGATCAAACGCGATGATACCCGGCGAAACAGTCTCGAGATAGTGTTCTATAACGCTTCTACTCACGTTGACCGGCTTAACGAAGCTCTTGAGTATGCGGAAAATGCGCAACTGGATGATGCTGACTTGATCCGGCTATCCAATGAAGCAGTCAAAAGGGAATGCGAGACGTGCATCATGGCATACACTCACGTTGGGACGCAGCTGCGCAACAGCCTTGGCAAGATTATCGCCAATGCAGATTCACGCTATGTACGTTCGCTGATGCTAATGATCTACAGCAGCATCATTGAGCTTCGCAACGCTTGTGTGAGCCTTGGTGTTCCACTGCACACTCGCAAACGTCTCTCTTCCACCAAGCCACCTATACCGGAAATAAACAGAGAGATGGTTGTGCCGGATAGACTCACTGGGTCAACAGTGACCCCAACTAGAGGCAGGGCGCCGTCTCTCTCGGTGCGCCGCTACCGGAGTGACACCACGATCCAGCACCCTCAGATCCTCACCAGTGGGCCATTACAGACAGCATCCAATTTCCACTCTGCGATTAGCTCACCTGGGTTTGTCTCCACTCCATTCAGTTACGCGGCACGGAGTCGATCAAGTAGTCGGTCAAACCACATCAACACATCGATACCCTCGTCCCTTGCGACCCCCCGTTCCGGCGAGTCCTTCCCTCCAATGCCTAGTACGGTTGTACCTCGGATTAACCCCTTGACTGGCCTGGATGAAATCGAAGAAGAGCGTGTATTCGAGCGGATCTTTCATCAGCTCACTACTGCATACACCGCCGCTCTACAGGCGCTGCCTCAGGCGCGCCGTCAATTTATGCGAAGCCTTGAATTGGCAGAACAAACCCGAGAATCCGAAGGTATTCAGATGCTCTGGCACAACCTCATTCGGCGATGTCGCGTGTGCTTGGAAGTATCTGAGGCACTTGGACTCCGCCTTTCCAACATGAAGGTAAAGGAACCTGGCGGCGGGATGCGCAACCAGCGCGAGTTCTGGCAATTATGCAAGGCATTCATGCAATCATTCGTTGATCTGGTGACAGACATGCGTGAAGTTAGGAGCATGCATCTTCTCCCTTCTGAGATCGTCATGTTCCTTCGTCCGGTGCAGAGGGCCAGCAGAGAGGCCGGTCGCATGATCGAGGCTTCACCATGGTCATACCTCGCAGACATGACGTCTGGAAACGCACCAGCAAACATTTACGGGCCCCCGTTACAGTCACAGCATCCACAGCATCAGATCAGTACAAGCCTGTCACCACAGTCTGTTACTCTCCCTGCAACACCATTGAGTGCTGCTCTTGGTCCAGCCGCCCAGGCAACGGTGCCGTCCACTCCTGCCAGTGCGTACAGTGACAAATTTTTCGAGGGAGACGTGTTTCAGAGGGCCGACTCTCTACTTTCCATGCCCAACCAGGCGCCGTTTTTCAGTCGTCGGTGACGTGGCACAGCTGATTCCACTCCCATGTTTGCCCGGGAGGGGGCGTTCGCTACATATTTATACCCTTGTGCTACACTATAGAGTTATTTCTTCTCAACCCCCTTTCAACTCTTGTGATGAGCTTTGTTACGTTCTACAAGATTCGAGGGCTTTTACAACCTACTGGGTGCTTCTCCTTGACTGGCTCAAGAGGCGCCTCAAGAAGGACCTTGAAATAAATCCTTCGCAGGACTCTCCCCTGTTTTCAGACGACATTAGAAAGACTCAGGAAGTGCTATGCATTTCTTGTCAGACTGCGTCTGCAGCATAGCTACCCTGTTCCCTGAGTATGATTTGGACGACTACAGGATGTATACTTAGTTGCGTGACCTTTTTTTTTTTTTTTTTTTGTTTTTTTTTTTTTGCGCATTCCCTCCGTGTTCTGATACCAGTATACAAGGGGTTCAACCCGGGCTTAAAAGTGATGGCGTATGGTGTTGATCTTTATATAGTGTGGAATAGCCTTGCATAGCGTGCCATCTTCATGTAATCATGTGTGACGAAAATAGCGAAATGAGACTTGATGTGTTTTACTACCCGAACCGGTGTGCCATCATT